AGCAGGATGCTTTCTGTGGAGATTTTCTGTGTCAAATATTTTTTATAAATTTATTACAATGTGGGAAGGCATAGGGAGATTTTTAAACTTCTAAGAATCGTGTTTCCTTTTTAATATGTATCTCTTTCAGCAGTATCTTTTTTATAAGATAGCATATTTTACTTGTAGTAAATTAGTCTCAAAATTAAGTTGTAATTTCATATCTGTGGGGCTGATATTTAGTCTTTTGTAACATGCAGCTAAAAATTGAACTTTATTTTTACAGATGCAGATCTCAGGTAAATGAGCTTTAGGACTGTAGTAAGGACGAGTAGTTAAGACGTGTGCCTATAATACCCTTGTTCTATGATACTTAAGAATGCAATAAAAATGACATTATTGTTTCCTAACTATGTCATAGCTATGTATCCATATACATGTATATATACATATATGTACATCTGTGTGTGTGTGTGTATATATATATACACCTATACATGTATATGCATGTATACACACACCCCCCCACATCTGTGTGTGTATATATATGGGTATCTTGGATGTTTACAACAATTTAGAGGACGCATAGAAGAAAGCTAATATTGGAAGTTATTTTCAGGTAAAGAGTATAGGTTACTTATGTGATTTTGGTGGGGGCTATCCAAATGGCAAATAACAGAGCCGATCATGGGAAATGTTTAAAGATTCTACAAACTGTCCAGCTAGTTCTTGTTTCCCTTCATCCCTCTGCATGGGGATAAACCAGACTGTCCTACAGGTCTCTGTAAGATATTCAAGCCCGCAAACACTTACTACCATAGAGTAATTATAGTTAAAACCAGGAATATTGAACTCCACTGAGTTATTCACATCATTAACTATGACACACAATAGAATGCCAGTGGAATAGAGCACAGTGTCAAGGAGCTGTTGATTTTAGAGAAACTTTGAGCAGACAGCAGGATTTGGCCCCTTACAGGCAAGTTAGTAAAAATATGCGCATAAGATATGCTTGCAAAAAGTTGTAAATCACATGCCCTTCTCGCACAAAGATGTATTTGCACTTTTTGACCAGAGAAACCTGTAAAATCAGTTACATATGCTTCCTAAATACACAGTTGTTCTCTATTCTTGTATCTAGCATTGGTTTTAATTCCACCAAGGTGATAATTTCTATTTAGATTATTTTTTAAATCATGAGCACAGGGAAAATGCAAGTGTGTCCAGAAAAGTAGTTGAGATGAAATCACTTCTATTTTGTTTCTTTAAAAATTGAATTAAAAGGTATCTCTTTTTTGCAAGAGTGCAAATTAAACAAAGGAATGAACCAAAAAAGTAAGTTGGTTAAAATTTTTTAACTTTCTGCATGTGTAGACTTTGTAAACATGTTTGGATATCTGCTTAGAACATACAAACTAAACAGTATTTTTTAAAAATATCCTTACATATGTTTCTTGCAATGAAAAATGTTTTTCACTGAATAACATAAAATCCCGTGTGATTTCTAGATTCTCTTTTTCACAAGAAATACAAAGTGTTGACTGTGTGAAGAGTGTGTAAATCCAGCTAAGCATTTAAGAACTGATGGTTCATACCAGAAAACCAACACTGTCTGTCCCAGTGTTCAACATTTTGTCACTGCTCCCTTTTACCCTCTCCCCCCATCTCTTTGTACCCCCCTGTTTGGAAACTGAGATTGTAAGCCCTCTGGGGGCAGGGACTACAGTACTTTGGCTCTGGGTTTGCACAGTGCTAATAGGATGAGATTCTGGTCCATGACTAAGCACTGAGGTGCTATAATAATGCAAATAATAAATACTAATAGGCTCACTTGTCTCTTATTTGCCCTCCCCCCACTTTCTGAGCACAGCGGAGATCCGAGTGACAGATGCGGAGCTTGCTGGCACTGCTCTGATCCCAGGGCGCTTAGCCTCGGCAGCCGTGGGAGCAGCCGGGGCTTTACTGGGACTTCTGCTGTGGCTGTAAGCCCCCTGAGGAAGCTTATGCTGGAAGGGGATCAAGTGTGGTGGAAGGTCAGCCCCACTTCATCCGCTCCCCCTCCTCACCCCGTTCCCCCCATTACTCTGGGAGGGGAGCGTGTGCAAGAAGCTGCTGCGTGGCTCCAGCGAGGTTTCCCAGCAGCTCAGCCTGCTCGTACAAAGAAAGTCTCTGACCCAGTTAGGACTGGTGCGCACCGGCATCCCACAGCTCGGCGAAGCAGGGAAATCTACACATCGACTTCAACGGCGTGCACGCCAGTGATTTGCGAAGCTGGGAGCCAAGCGCAGTGGGAAGGGAGAGGAGCAAAAACCCATTCACAAGGTCTCGTTTGTGCCTGGGATGCAGTTTTGGTTTTTATTTGGGCTGGAGTTCAAGTGTGTTAAACTGGCAGCGTGTGTGTGGAGCCGCAGTCCTGTCTCCCCCACCTCCTCTGCCGCCCGTGTGCCAGTACAAACATTTCTGAACCCTTCCAGTGGACCAGATGAGTGAAGTGATCTGCCTGTAAAGTACCCCAGTAAACAAAAAAGGGGTTATTTTACAGGCAGATCATTTTCCCAAGCCAATTCAGCCCCTGGCACCAAAGGGGGTAGCGAGGGGGCAAGCAGGACAGCTCTGTTCACAGATGGTACCACATTATGCCAGTTCCAAGTTTTCATCAAAGTGCAGCCTTAAAACTACTTGACTACACGTATCGACCGAAATAAACCATACTAGAGTTTGTCCTCCCTTCGTTTTGGTCTTGCTAGCCAGATGAAACTTCACTCAGCATGCGTGTCTGGCAGCTCTCCGTGTGAGTGCGAGCATTCATAACACAGTTAGTGCAGCACATTAGCCAGGAACTTAAATCCCCCAAAATGCTTAAACGTGTGGACTCTTTTCCCTACCAGCTGTTGTAAAATGCTGCGAATGTTTTCCACTACATACATTACAGAGTACATAAGTGCATCTGTAATTCGGCATCCAAGACAGATGAAGATTTTCTCCATGAACGCCAGCACAAGGATGCCTGTGCTCTGAAGAGTGAGCGCTTCCTCTGTAAGCACATGATGCTCAGCTTCCCGGAGCTATCCCAGTTCGTGCCCACATCCCTCACCAGCTCACTGGTGGAGAACATTTTATACCTCCGGGCTTGCTGGCCTGGTATCAGATGGTGCTTTCTGGTAGAACAGAGAGCGGAAATAGCTGCAAACTCCAGGAAAATGGTCAGTGGCTGATTCCTTTGCAGTGTGTCTTGTTGAGCTTGTCAGATTTTACAGAACAAGTATTGGCATGTTTCATACGTGCTGAAGGACTGATATTTTCCCTTTGATTATACTAGCTAATCTCACGGTATTAAAGAAATTTGCATTTATTGGAGCACCTACCTAGGGGCCCACAGGCAATATTCTCCATATTTCTTCTAGAATTCGGTTCCTGTTGGCAATGGTTTCAATTGAAGCAATAAAAATATCACTTCCACCAGCCATTCTGCTATCAGTATTAAAGCTATGCTGTTCCCTTAGCACGGTTGGATCTGTTCAGTGTACACACAGGAGATGTGCAAGGGGATCTTTGAACAATGAACTAAGACTTAAGCTACTCTATCAAATTAACACAGACTGCGCCTTTTTTTCCTGGTAACTTCCTAGAGCTACCAAGACTCTAAAAATTATTATTTTCCTTTATGCCAGTAGGGAAACTGTATACAAAAATGTGCTCTCTTTCAGTACTGTATTGCCGAGGCTGAAAATGCAGAGAAGTCAGAATTATGGTTCCTACAGCCATTTCCATTTTACAGTTAAGTCTTTCATAAAACATCTCCCCAACACTAAGGAATGTGACAAAGTATTCACCAACAGCAGAAAGAAGAATTTCCATTTTCTTTTAATCCATGCACCAGTCATGACAATAGCACTATAGGATACTGCATTTTTATATGCCTGCTGTGTTCAAGTAGCTAAAGAACTGTTGACACCAACTCTGGATTTCCGTGGGGTTTGCTCCTGAATTTTTGATTTTAAAATGCATTACAATAGTGGGTTGATACTTCTCTACTTTACAGCCCATTATATTTATACAGTGAATTTTAGAGTAAAATGGATTGGAGGTTGAAGCGTGCCCTTTCTCATCGCAGAATGGGATGGTGTGTATTTTCCAGCACAGAGGACAGAATTCTCTATCCCAGCATACTAAATGTCACTATTTCAGTTACAAAAAATTGTGTGCTATTTGCCTTGTATACTGCTATGAAATCCATGCATACAAACAACGTACTGCAGTGCAGCCTGATGACACGATAGACAGACAGACCAACCTCACATAGATGCTATGAGAATTCATCAATCTTCAGCAGGCTCTTTAACTGCAGTCGCTTTTATACAATTACTGAAGTCCCTTCCATCACGCCGAATACTTCAGTGCATACCCTAATACACAGGATTTATACATTCATTCTCTGCAACCTTTTATGCGCACTACCACTGCATTAACACCACAACCTCATGCACTATGCTTTCTTCAGTTAGCTACCAGCTTTCAGGTTTACTAAAAGCTGTTATTCTTTTAGTGAATGTTCAGGAATTTTATAATACAGCCATTAAAACTATTGCCTCCCAATTTGCTGAAACAAACAGATTCAAAATTGAGGTCTGAGTCTTCTTGCCAACACTTATTGGGGTGAATTGGATGAATCAGTGGAATTGCCCCTGTTTGCAAGAGCAAAAAAAAATAGCCAAAACCACGTTTCACAGACAGAACTTTCCAGCTGATCACAGGGAGGGAAAGCCTCCTCCAGCTCAGCAATGCCCAGTT